AAGCCGGTCACTAAAATAATCAAAGCAAGTTGCTTAGGACACCTGCCAAACGAAAGTAATCAAACGTCTCTGAATGGTCCCATCATGATGTCAGGACACATTATGTGGCATGGAGCAGATCATCTCCAGCACGTTCATTCACAGACAAGCTTGCCCCCCTATTTATACCTAACTTTCCCACTATTACAGCCTCGCAATCCTTGTTCATCTGCTTACGTCGCCACTTTTAGCACCATTTCTACAGCGAGCTGTCAGCATCAGCATCATTATTATTATTATTCAGGTTTATTTGACAGGGAAAATGCACATCAATTATACATAAATGTACAAAGTGGCAGAATTAGCCAGAAGGCTATTTTACATCTGCAGTCCCTGGACTGATGGTAAAACTGTCACCCTAAAAATATAAAAGAAATAATCTATACATGCTCTAAACTATTTAAATTTATGCTATACCTAAAACATATATTTCTATCCCAATACAAACAAAAAAATTCAGCATCCACTTAAAAATGTCGCTATACGTAAAACAACAAGAATCAACAGCAGCTCACTCACACACACAATTCCGACTGTCAGACATGACAAGCAATGTATCGATAATATCAATACACAGGCAAGGAAAATATCAATATACAGAAGTTACTTATCATCATTATAAATGTGAATCTAGAAACATTTCAATGTGAATTATCTGGTGGCTGCAGTAAAAAAATAAATAAAAAATAAACAGTACATAAAACCACTTATTTCCATGGCCGTCATAGAACATCAAATTTGCAATTCCCTGGACCATTTTTCACTATTATGGGATTAGGAACTACAAAAACTGGTACATCATGTTCTAAAATTGACCAGATTTCTGTTTAAACTGTAATATAGTAACTCTATAGTACAGGGGTTTTCAAACTGCAAGGAGGAGGTCGCAAGGGGAAACTAGGGGGTCTGTGGAAAATGTGTTAAATGTAAAGACAAATAAAAAATAATAATACTTTAATAAAAATGTTTGATATAGTTTTATTAATATATATATATATATATACACACACACACATATTTATAGTTTTAATAATAATAAGTTTTAATAATAAAAATAAATACGTAAACAAATATATAAATACAGTACTATAAAAGCCCTATAATGAGCCGAAAATACAACTTAATAGACACTAAATTTTTTCCAAATAATATTTTAGACACATTTATAATTAAATATGAATTTTTCCCAGTTTAAATTGGGACTTTAAAAAAAGAAACCATGTGGAAGCCTTTTAAATTTTAGGATGGGGGTCCCTCACACGAGGATAATCGCATTTGGGGGTCTGTGCCATCTAAAAGATTGTACATTTATTATTTCATAAACTCATTTAAACCTGTATTTGATTATCTAAATTGTATAAAATTACAGCTCCTGTAATAATCTGGGCTGTTAAACCCGTGGCAGAAGCACATATGAACCACTGGTCCAGACAGGGATGAACAAACATGACCAGGCCTCTGCTACTCCTTCACAATCAAGAAATCATGTATCTTCTATGTTTAAAAAATTAAAAATACTTCTTTAAAGTTGCAAACTGACACATTTCAGTGAGAGGAAGCGTTTGGCTGACGGCTGACAAGGTCTACTATCCACCACAGACACCACAGACATCATGCTGTTCATAATGGATTACACATTTGGAACTATATAACCAATACTTTAATATCATTAAGCGTCTCAACATTTGATAAATCATGCTCGCCAATTCACGAAAGCTAGTCAAAACAGACTGTTCAAACCCGGCTTCCCAAAACAGTTCCGTCAAGTCACAGGATATTTACCACCAGCCATCGGTAACAGATTAATATCCACTCACCGTGTGAGAAATTGCCGTTTTCATGTTTACAGTAACCGCAGCGATAGCCGCCATCTCCCCCGAAATACTCCACTATACTGTACGATCCCCCCGCTGCCATTTCCACGCTCCCTCAGCTGCGCCAAGAACACTACTGTTGGAGAGGCCTGCTGCTTCGTGAATATTAATTACGCTGCGTAACGTTCGCCCAGTGCGCTTCTCTGATTGGTCTGACTTGCTGAAACCCCGCCCATAGTAGGTGTGCGCCAGAGCCGTTGAAACACTCCCATAGGCTGTCGGTCTGAACTGAGGAATGCGGAAGTAAAGCGTGTGACGGCATGTAACACAGTCGGAAGTGAAGTTTCCAAACATTTATTTTTAGATACATTTGATTTAAATAATAATAACTGCATGAACCAGTTGATTAGATCTCTTTTTGTTAATATCTCCCCTCCTCCATCTAAATTTGTTTGGGTTAATATGTTTCCTTCATTTGAGTGGGAACATTTTTGGGGAGTTGTTTGTCATCGTGTTACAAATAAAACCAAAGAAGTGTCTTTTAAAATTGCTCACAGAACATATCCTGTGAAAGAATCATTAGAGCGTTTTCATCTGGATATAGATCACATTTGCTCTTTTTGTAATTGTGAGGTGCATTTATTTTTTTGAATGTCCCTGTTCATCTTTGTTTTGGTCACAATGTCTAAGTGTTCAAATGAACTGCAACCTATTCTTAAATTTATCATCAGTTTTACTCCATTCAAATGAATATGACATTTCTAAAAGAACAATATTTATTATTAGAAAAATGTTATATTCATCAAACTAAACGGAGTAACTCAAAACCCAATTTTGCTCATTTTAAACAGCCTTTAAAGTTTATTTAGAATCTGTAAAGTTTTTAAAAAAAAACGAAAAACCCAAAGAACTGTGTCTCTGCTAAAATGAATTTAACATGTTTGAGACGGCCATTATTTTTTTCCTTCTCTTTCAAGTTCTATTTTTTATTTGATTTAAATTGTCTTTCAATTTGTACTTACAAAATGTGTAAATGTGAGAAATATGTAAAGAACTTGCTGCTGAATTCTGTCATTTTGAAAGTCCAATAATAAAAAAACTAAAGTTCCAAACAACCAATATTTCCAGCATTGAAGCCCATTCATTTCAGTGCTTCACAAGCTCACTCGCCAGAATGTTGAAGAAATTACATCATTTTTTGACATTTTAACTCATCAGTTGACCTCTCGGAAATCTGTCCAGTAGTGGTATTTTATGAAGCGCAATATAATTAATGTTTATCGATAGATAATAGATAGTTATACTATAATTGCAGTTAGATAACATTCATTCATTCATTCATAAGTTTTTAGTCTTTCTGCAATCTTTCTCTCTCCCTGTAGGAGGTTGAATGAGTTTCAATGAAGACTGCCCATTCAAGGAATACAATAAAGAGTTTCACTGAATGCAATTGGTTGCCTTTAGTTTTTTAAACATTATTTTAATCTTTTTTATCGAGTTAAATTCCGTATTTGCTTGCCTTTTGTAATCTTCACTTATCTTGTATACTTACGTGAATATCGGATAATGTCTAAAAATACATTTAAATGCAAACCCTAAAAAAATAGCCTACTGTAAGTAAGCAATTGTGACCGGCAAAACTCTTGAGCAACTAACAGCCATACGCGCATCTAGTGGTTAAACCATGTCATTACATATGAATATTATTTTTCTGGCCACCAAATGCCTCTGTTGCACCGAATTCTGTGACCACCGAATTATGTGACCCTAGGTGCTGTAGTGAAGGTAGGTTTAGGATTAGAATTGGGTTTAGGAGTAGGTCGGATTAGCTCAATACAGCGCCTACTATGGTCACAGAATTCGGTGCAACATCTCTAATTTGCCTCTTTGCACGAATTTAAAAATGTTTTCTCCATTTTAACCCTAAACACTACACTAATTGTAATATAAATAATAAGCATAAGAATAAGCAATGGTCATTCATGGATCATAATTATTGTACATATGATTTAGTACCAAAAATCTCCTCAAAATATGAACTAAATTGAACTCAACTAAAATATAGTACAATTAATCAATTGTTACACTTAAGGGGCCTCATTAGGGTTGGGTACCGAACTCTGTACTTTTAAGGGTACTGACTGAATTGCGTTGGTACTACCGAGTACCGATTCACGTTAAAACAATTGGTGCTAAATTTCGGTACCTGAGAACGCATCTGGGCAAAGAGAGACCCTGTGACGTGGTGTCACCGCTGCAACTCGTTCAAACAACACACAGGGCAAACCAAAATGTTGTGA